GACGACATTTTAGGATGAGCCGTGACAGCCCAATAACAGATCCCACTTTGTATGCCAGGTCAGCTTAATTGGTCCAACTTTAAAAGGAACTGTTTGGCCTCACCTTCCTTCTTTGAGGTTAAAATTTAGCCAATTAGGTTTATGATAAGGACTGTTAATTTGATTATGATTCATTTTCTTTTTAACATCGCCACATAGTTATGGCCTTATGGGCATAATGGCCACGAGTTGTTAAAATATAAAAAAGTTTTCTGAATATTGTCGAATATGTACGAGTATTATTCTTGCGTTACTTAGCCGATTAAACACGTAATACTGTATTCGTGTTTGATGTGTTGATTTGCCTAAACACTCTAATTCAATAAGCCAATATTTTGTTTTCGTCAAAAACAAGTAACCAAAGACACTATAGAAAAAACATGTATTCTTTCGAAATAAGTAGTCAATAAAATAAAATGTTGTGTAAAACTATTTTCTGAAAATTACCTAGTTTGACTCAAATTTGGAGAAAAATAACTAGATTAACACCCAAATATTGTGGTTTACTAGAATAACACAAATTTTGTGTTAAAAGACAAAATACCCATTTTATTTTCAGTTCTATTAAAATAAAATAATTAAATTAAATAGAAAATTAAAAAATACAAAAAAAAAATTATAAAACCAAAAAACGAAAATTGAAAAAAAAAACAAAAAATACAAATGAAAAATATATATAAATTGAAAAAAATAAAAAAAAATAAAAAATAAAAAACAAAAAGATATAAAACCAAAAAAGGAAAATTGAAAAAAAAAACAAAAAATACAAATGAAAAATATATATAAATTGAAAAAAACAAATAAATAAATAAAAAACAAAAAGAAAACAACTACCCATTTTATTTTCAATTCAATTAAAATAAAATAATTAACATATAATAACTAAATTAAATAAAAAAATTAGAAAAAAATTATAAAACGACAAAAAAATTAAAATGAAAAAAAAATACATAACAAAAAAATTTTTTAAAAAAACAAAAAAAATAAAACAAAAAAATACAAAAAAAAATTAAAAAGAAAAAATATATAAAAACGAAGAAAAAATTATCTTTATCATATATTAACAAGGAGACAGCCACACAAGAACCATCTTATTATAAATAAATCTGTCGCGATAAGAATATGTCTGTCATTACTTTATTGTGCAGATTAAAATTTTATTTTCATCAATAAAACTGTCATCATACGACAGATTTTTTTATAGTCTATCTGAAATCTGTCATAATATAAAAAAAATCTGTCATAACATAAAATATTTCGGTTGTGAGTATATGTCATTCTAGCAATTTATATTTTTATATAACAAATCTGCTATCACACTCCAGATTTTTGTTAAGAAAAAAAAAACTGTCATAACATAAAATAAATCGTTATCACTAATAAGTCAAACTAGTAATTATATTTTTAATAACAGATCTTCTACATTATGACAGATTTTTCTCGAAAAATATAAGTCTGACGCCACTAAAACAATAAATCTGCCACACATTTTAATAAATCTGTCAAAATTACGAAAGTCTGTGGTGTCATCATAAAATAAGTCTGTCGTGAGAAAAAAATCTGCTACTAATTAAATATCTGTCGTAACCTATTTTAAGTAAGTCTGTAGGGGAAACAAAATCTGTCGCAAAAAATCTGTCATAGAAAAATAAGTCTGTCATGGTAAATAAACCTGTCACAACTAACCCAGCAGATTTTTCAAATAATTTTTTTTTTCCAAATTTTTTTTCACCACGTTTTTTAAATATATCTAAGGGTATTTTTGACTTTTTTTTTTATTTCTAACAAAGAGAGAAAGGGTATTATGGTCATGAAAATAACTCATTTAACCCCTAAATTTTTTGAGACATTCTAGTAATTAAACTCATAATTTGGGTTAATCTAGTAACTTTCCCAACTATTTTTAGAGATTCTTTTGATTTGGGAGTTGACAAAAAAAAAAAACAAAGATGTTTTGCATCAGATTTGGAGTATACTACCAGACTTTGTGGGTTGAATAAATCGATTAGATTATTTGTGGACAATTAAGTCCGTACTTCGCCAACAATTTTTTTTTGTTGTTGCAAATCATCAAAATGTGTATTCTATGACAATATAAAAATGAAAAACAAGTTATATATACAAATAAATTATGGCTAAGAATCGGAAAAGGTCGTGGCCTCGTGGGTTTTAGAATTGAAAGCGGCAAAAAAGAAATGAAAAGAAACAAGAGCTTTCAGATTTTAAGTATGAATAAGATTATACAGCGAAGAGTAATGATTTTGCTAGGAGATGCCTTGAATATGGAATGGGAAAGTATGGCGTAGAGTACCAACGCGTTATGGTGTATGAATGGGAAAAATACATTCAACCATACACTCTCTTTCCCAATATCTGATAATTATATTTGTCGTCTCGTGTGATTTTTCATTGATGTGGACAAAAATTAATTAGTGCTTTTAGGTTTTAACTGGGGATCCACCCCAACATTCGAAACAATCTCGAGTATTAATTTATGTTTACACTACGGTGTCGTTTTAAGTTTTTAATAATATTGTGGTTTCTTTTTCGGGCTGGTGGGCTTTTTGTGTCCGCTTCCCAATACTTTTTCTTTCTTTCCTATTTACTAATTTTTTGGTTTTCAAAATTTATTTATAAATTAAAAAATTTCAGTGTTTTTATTTTCTCTCTTCTGAGTTCTGTCTCTGTTTATTACCACTTTTCTTCTTTTGATGTTTTTTTTTTTTTTTTTTTTTTTTGATGTTCTTGTAGCGTTTGTACAAAATCTCACAAAGGTTTTTCTTCTCAGATTTAGAAAACTTGTGAAAATCTTTGATCAACAAAAAGTTTCCATCTTTTTCAACCCATTTGAAAATCCGGTGGTGAGTCGCCGGAGAAATGTGTTTTTCTTCTCTCCATTGAGTTTTTTTCACGGCGGAATCTGTTAAACCCCTAGATTTCAAACGAATGACATTTTATGAGATTGAAGAACATTGTGAGTCGAGGAGTGGAAGATTCTTCTCTGATGAGTGAATCAGAAGAAGACGAAGAAGAAGAAGCTAGTGAAGTCATTTTAAGCAGAAACGTCGTTGAGAAGAAGAAGAAGAAGAATCTGCGTTTTGGTGAAGAGGAGGAAGAAGAGAGACGAGACGGTTTGGTGTTGTTAGCTCAATCTACTCAAATGGTGAGATCGAGATCTCAAGGAACGACTCGGCGCGTGACTCCCACGCCTTTAGTTGATGTTGAGAAGCCGCTACCGAACGGAGATCTCTACATCGGAAGCTTCTCCGGCGGGTTTCCACACGGATCCGGCAAGTATCTGTGAAGGTACTTGGGTTGCTGATAGGAAACATGGTCATGGACAAAAGCGTTATGCAAATGGAGATTTTTATGAAGGTACTTGGAGAAGGAATCTAAAAGATGGTAGAGGTAGGTATGTTTGGAGAAATGGGAATCAGTATACTGGAGAGTGGCGTAGCGGTGTGATTTCTGGGAAAGGTTTACTTGTTTGGCCTAATGGGAATCAATGCTTGTGGGAGAATGTGCGTTTGGGAGTTCCCAAGTTCAGACTTATGGGATTAATTTTTACTCAATTAGCTTTGGTAATTTGTGAAAAAAACAACCAATGAGAGAAGAGCAGTTTGACTGGCCACATAGCCAATGAAATTAGCCAATGGGAAAGAGATATAGAGACCTCGTAAGAACCGCCTCCTTTGTCATTTGTATCATCTCTCTATAAAACCACTCAACTATCAACATCTCTTTACATGCAACAAATCACTCAAATAATTATTTTATAAAGAACAAAAAAAAAAAAGACGGCAGGGAAACAATGGAACGTGGAGCTTCCTTCTCTCACTATCAGCTACCCAAATCCATCTCTGTTAATCTAAGTGGCTATTTATATACTTGCCTCCATGTATATTTATATGCTCATGAAAAATTGGAGACTTGCTTTTTGATTTTTATGAGTCTTTTCAACAAAGAAGTAGAGGCTTTCTTTCTCGAAATTTAATTTTAGAATTTGTGAAGGTTTTGGGAATGGCTCGGAAAAGACGATTTTATACATGCATGCAAGAGTTTGATATGTGTATTGTCTCATCATGACTGAGTCAAAGTTTGATTCAAATATTTCCATGGTGTGGTAGAAATTAAACAAATCTTTCATATGTGTTCATTGAATATTCCCGTGCATGCACGATGAATGTTTTTGAGTATCAATTTTTTTGTTTTATTTTTTTTTGTTTTTCGATTCTAAAAACGTAGGGGAGGGGATTTTATTGGTTTTCTCTATGAGTTTTCTCGTTGTAACGGTTGAGTTTTTTTTTTTTCCGTTTCAAAATGAGATTCTCGTTTCTCTGCCTTTATCTAAAAGCATCTACAGTAAATTAAAAGACACTAAAAAACAAAAAATTAAAAGACACTGAAATTTTTTTTATACTTAATAAACATTTAAGTATATATAAACAGTCTTACTAGTCCCAAGTTTTACAATTCAAAATTTATTAGTAATTGTTTTTTGGAAAAAATCTAAGTGAATTTTTGTCCAAAATTTTCCTTTTACTGTGTTTATTCTAGTGGGTGTCATTAACTTTAATCTTGTGATTCTTTTAACGTTTACCATTGGGAACCTTCACATGAAATAAATGTCTACTTTATCGAGTCATACCTTCTTCTCCGTAAATTAATTGATGTTCTTCTTCAAAATTTGAGTTTCTGTTTTTTGTAATAAACTAAACGAAAGAATTTGGGAATACGTGTTTATACAATTATACTTTTAAAGTTATATTTATGTCAAAATTTAAGTATTTCGAGAAGAGGAAAGATCCTTTTGACATTTTTGTTCTATAGTTATTATTTATTAGAAACGTAACGGCAAGAATCTGAACAGTACCTACTCAACGGGGTCCATAAGTCTAGTCAACAAATGTAGTTGACTATGTCCAGGCCAAAAACGTACGGTTATTATTAACCATAGTTAATAGTTAAAAGTTAACCATGGTTCGGTTAACATTAAACCCTTTTTCCTCTTTTAACAAACCCCAAAACCTTTCTTCAGATTTTCTCTCTGCTTTTCACAATCGTCGTCTCAATTTTTTCCTGCAAAATTCCGATCGCCATGGATGATGGAGCTGTTGAGATACGTGAAGAGCAACGTCGATTGATCGTGGCCCAGCAGCAACCACCATGTATGGCTCGTGAACAAGACCAGTACATGCCAATCGCAAACGTCATAAGAATCATGCGTAAAATCTTACCGTCGCACGCTAAAATCTCTGACGACGCCAAAGAAACGATTCAAGAATGTGTCTCCGAGTACATAAGCTTCGTGACCGGTGAAGCCAACGAGCGTTGCCAACGTGAGCAACGTAAGACCATAACTGCTGAAGATATCCTTTGGGCTATGAGCAAGCTTGGGTTCGATAACTACGTGGATCCCCTCACCGTGTTTATTAACCGGTACCGTGAGATAGAGACCGATCGTGGGTCGGCACTTAGAGGTGAGCCACCGTCGTTGAGACAGGCCTATGGAGGAAATGGTATTGGGTTTCACGGCCCACCACATGGCCCATCTCATGGCCTACCTCCTCCTGGTCCTTATGGTTATGGTATGTTGGACCAATCCATGGTTATGGGAGATGGTCGGTTCTACCAAAACGGGTCGTCGGGTCAGGACGAATCAAGTGCTGGTGGTGGCTATTCGTCTTCCATTAACGGAATGCCGGCGTATGACCAATATGGTCAGTATAAGTGAAGATGGAATTATTCTTCATTTTTATGTATATCGATTCAAAACATGTGTTTGAATAGATATTTTATCTTTGTATTATCAATAACATTTCTATATATAATGTTGCTCCTTTTAAGGAAAAGTGTTGAGTTTCAATACTTTTCGAGAACTGATTTATATATGCAAATGAAAAAGTGTTTTTGGATGAAACTCTATGCAATATTACATGATCTAAAGGTTTTTGTAATTTTAAAGCTGCTATAGTTAGAAGATAACTAAACATTATAGGAACCAAGTTTGCTTTTTTTTATATAGTTAGAAGATTTATATATGCAAACAAAAAGGGTTATAAAATCAAAATTCAAAATGAAGCAAGTGGTCCAAATGCATTGACCACATAAACACTTTAATAACCAAAATATAGGATTTTTGTAAGACTCTCAAGTCTGACGCACAACAGTTTATGTTATTTATAGAGTTGACTGTACCATTAAAGATTTCAAAAAAATTAGATCTTTATTAGGTTCATTTGTTGTTACACTCCTCCTTCTATATAATAATAACCTCCACTCCTCTCTATGAGCAGCAATGTGAAAGATATGGTCCAAGTGAAGTCAAACCCAACAAATGAGCCTAGTCAACAACCACAACACAAAAAGACAAAGACCAGAAAAGTTTCACCGGCTGAGAGTATCTCCAACAGTAATGTCTTGAGGAATATCTTAAGATTAAAAAAATAAAAAATAATAAAAAAGTAGGAGAGAGTGTAGACACAGTTTCTGGTTTGAGAAACTTTGAGAAACTGTGTTTCCACTTGTCATTTTATTATTGGTCAAATTCTTTTTTTATAATTTATAATTTAAATAAATAATTTATTTATTATAAATTGATTAAAATAATATTTTTGATACACCCACACAGTGTCACATAAACTCCCCTCTGATCGCGGAAGCTGTGGCGGCCCTTCTCGCGTTGCAACACGCCCGAAACCTTGGTTTCACATAGCTCTCTCTTGCTTCTGACTCGTCTCAACTCGTCAAAGCACTTCAATCGGAGCTTCAAGTAAAGGAACTCCACGGGATTCAATTCGACATCCTTGATCTATGTTTAAGTTTCTCTGCAATTTCTTTTCGCTTTATCCCACGATCTCAAAACACTGTAGCGGATTCGTTGGCCAAGGAGGCCTTACTCTCCTTTGTACTGGGCCTGGCCCAACTCTAGTTTTCAATTGAATCATCCATCCTTTGCACAAAAAAAAAAATTTGTAAGCGTTATGATTGCATTGGAGAGGTTTACTTGTCCGTTCATTTTTTGAATTCAAATAATGGGAGTTCAAACACTTAGAAATATCAGCATTACTATATATATACTACTAGTATTCATTTGTTTAACATATATGGATGGTCGATTATTTTTTTGTTAATCAACGCCGAAGGGTAAAGAGCTCATGTTTTTTTCGTGATGTAGCCTAAAGATTAATATAAGTTTATTGCAAAAAAAAATAATGAAAAATCACTTCTATTAATTTTGTTAACATGCAAGGTCAAATTACTTTTCACTCTCTATCTCATTTCTCGTCATGCATATATGTTCGCAAGAATCTCCAATGTTGATATATTCACCTATCTCAACTCATATTTACGTAATGTAATTTCTTGTAATTTGCCAGTTCATCTCTACTCGAAAATGCCCAATCCTAATAACATAGAGGTGTGCTGAAAAATAATGGGAGAATTAGCCTCATAATATTTTGCGTAAGAGTAACTTGGAAGACGTACATTGACCAAGGTATTATGATTTTTGTCAGTTAATGGCACCCCATTGGACCAACAAATTAAGCAATCCCCGCATTCCTTTAATTTAATCGTAACAATATGTATTAAACTAAATATACATGCACAACAATTAATTTCAAATACATTAAAAAAACGCACAAGTCATAACAATGATTATTCGAGTTTATTACTCCATATGCGACTATGAACATTTTAATAAACTTCGACATCAAAGAAGCTGAGACATGCATGCCGAAACAAGCATTCCTCTTCTGACTTCTCTCGTCCACAATTTTTTTTTATTTTTTGAATACTAAGGTGTTAAATTATTATATCTAATTAATTATAGCAAATAATTGAAGGTATAGGTCGAGGTTTTCATTAAAGAAACAATAGGCTCTCTAATTCTATAGATCAATTATTGACCACTCGAGGATTTACATTATATTTCATGCATGTATATTTGTTAGAAGTAAACTGTTTTTTCTTGTTTTCATTTCTAGTAAGAAATTCTTAGTCCTAGTTTTATTTTTGTCTTAAAAGCTTACTTGAATAGTTAAAAAGTTCAATACTTATCAAAAAAATATTTATACTAATATTACACAAAAAAAAATATGTAAAAATATATAGTTAAAAGTTCAAACTAAAAATAGATGCTTTGAGATATTTGAGTGCACATTACTTTAAATTTGATGGGAAATCTGTAAACCAGTAATTCTCTATCTGCAGGATAATTAATTTGTGTGTGGAGTGGTTAGATTTCGAAGTCAACAGTTTAGTCAAAGTGCTGTCAGAAAAATTACATGCGGGGGCTGTAAGAAATAATACATTTACATGGATTACAAAAACAGTTTTTAAGAAGAAAAAAAAGTGGTTTACCAAAAAAAAAAAGTGACGCTTTCAAATTATTTAAAATAGAAAAGTGTTTTATGGGTTTATACTTTATAGAATATTACACACATTAAGATCTAATATTGTTGCATCTAATAATATTTATACTTCAGAGATTTCAAAATGTAGTGTTATTTAATCAATATTTTAAATATTTCATAAAATCTAGTATTGTTCAAAAGTATAACATTTAATTAATATTTTGATACATAAATCTATCTTTACTATACTATAAATCTAGTAGATTAGTCCAACATCCTTATTAAACCACCTCTCAATGAAAAATTAAAATAGACCAAAAAATTACATCAGAAATATTAAATGATGAATAATATAAGCAACTTCTTAATGATACACAACACCAATCCTAGTTTTTCTAATTTTTGTAACTTTTTTTTTTATTTGTTTCTACCAAACTTATCCAAATATAAATTGATAGAAACTAACAGATAACTAAACAATGCCACAAAAATCTTTATCAACCATTGGATTACTAGGGTGTTGGATTTATATATTTATTGGTTATTTATGTATTAGAAAATGCAAAGCAACATTCAATTGTAAGTTTGTAACATGCATCTAACACCAATATCTTTTACTAAACTTTTGTAATCCCTTAAACACTTTAAAATGCTAATTCAAATTAAAAATACATTACACGTGATACATAGTTTTAAAAACAGTAGACTTATAGCTCATTTTCGTAACGCATATATATATTAAAATTTACCAAAATTTACCATTTCGAGTAAGAGAATCTTTTTAAAAATAATTTTCAATTTCATTAATTAAGAAACAATGAATTTAATGAAATGTATATTTTATTAAATTCCCATAAAGTATATATAATTAAAATAATGCCACGTAAATCTTTCTCCGCCGTTCGATAATCAAATACTTTCTTGATTAAAAATGTATTCAGAAAATGTTAAACCAACATTTATCTATAAACAAAGAGAGCCTCATATGTGTAAAAATCTTCTTCTTATCTTTCTTTCTTTCTTAATAGAGTCTTTAATTTTTACTCAATTAGCTTTGGTAATTTGTGAAAAAAACAACCAATGAGAGAAGAGCAGTTTGACTGGCCACATAGCCAATGAAATTAGCCAATGGGAAAGAGATATAGAGACCTCGTAAGAACCGCCTCCTTTGCCATTTGTATCATCTCTCTATAAAACCACTCAACCATCAACCTTTCTTTACATGCAACAAATCACTCAAATAATTATTTTATAAAGAACAAAAAAAAAAAGACGGCAGGGAAACAATGGAACGTGGAGCTTCCTTCTCTCACTATCAGCTACCCAAATCCATCTCTGTTAATCTAAGTGGCTATTTATATACTTGCCTCCATGTATATTTATATGCTCATGAAAAATTGGAGACTTGCTTTTTGATTTTTATGAGTCTTTTCAACAAAGAAGTAGAGGCTTTCTTTCTCGAAAATTAATTTTAGAATTTGTGAAGGTTTTGGGAATGGCTCTGAAAAGACGATTTTATACATGCATGCAAGAGTTTGATATGTGTATTGTCTCATCATGACTGAGTCAAAGTTTGATTCAAATATTTCCATGGTGTGGTAGAAATTAAACAAATCTTTCATATGTGTTCATTGAATATTCCCGTGCATGCACGAGGAATGTTTTTGAGTATCAATTTTTTTGTTTTATTTTTTTTTGTTTTTCGATTCTAAAAACGTAGGGGAGGGGATTTTATTGGTTTTCTCTATGAGTTTTCTCGTTGTAACGGTTGAGTTTTTTTTTTTTCCGTTTCAAAATGAGATTCTCGTTTCTCTGCCTTTATCTAAAAGCATCTACAGTAAATTAAAAGACACTAAAAAACAAAAAATTAAAAGACACTGAAATTTTTTTATACTTAATAAACATTTAAGTATATATAAACAGTCTTACTAGTCCCAAGTTTTACAATTCAAAATTTATTAGTAATTGTTTTTTGGAAAAAATCTAAGTGAATTTTTGTCCAAAATTTTCCTTTTACTGTGTTTATTCTAGTGGGTGTCATTAACTTTAATCTTGTGATTCTTTTAACGTTTACCATTGGGAACCTTCACATGAAATAAATGTCTACTTTATCGAGTCATACCTTCTTCTCCGTAAATTAATTGATGTTCTTCTTCAAAATTTGAGTTTCTGTTTTTTGTAATAAACTAAACGAAAGAATTTGGGAATACGTGTTTATACAATTATACTTTTAAAGTTATATTTATGTCAAAATTTAAGTATTTCGAGAAGAGGAAAGATCCTTTTGACATTTTTGTTCTATAGTTATTACTTATTAGAAACGTAACGGCAAGAATCTGAACAGTACCTACTCAACGGGGTCCATAAGTCTAGTCAACAAATGTAGTTGACTATGTCCAGGCCAAAAACGTACGGTTATTATTAACCATAGTTAATAGTTAAAAGTTAACCATGGTTCGGTTAACATTAAACCCTTTTTCCTCTTTTAACAAACCCCAAAACCTTTCTTCAGATTTTCTCTCTGCTTTTCACAATCGTCGTCTCAATTTTTTCCTGCAAAATTCCGATCGCCATGGATGATGGAGCTGTTGAGATACGTGAAGAGCAACGTCGATTGATCGTGGCCCAGCAGCAACCACCATGTATGGCTCGTGAACAAGACCAGTACATGCCAATCGCAAACGTCATAAGAATCATGCGTAAAATCTTACCGTCGCACGCTAAAATCTCTGACGACGCCAAAGAAACGATTCAAGAATGTGTCTCCGAGTACATAAGCTTCGTGACCGGTGAAGCCAACGAGCGTTGCCAACGTGAGCAACGTAAGACCATAACTGCTGAAGATATCCTTTGGGCTATGAGCAAGCTTGGGTTCGATAACTACGTGGATCCCCTCACCGTGTTTATTAACCGGTACCGTGAGATAGAGACCGATCGTGGGTCGGCACTTAGAGGTGAGCCACCGTCGTTGAGACAGGCCTATGGAGGAAATGGTATTGGGTTTCACGGCCCACCACATGGCCCATCTCATGGCCTACCTCCTCCTGGTCCTTATGGTTATGGTATGTTGGACCAATCCATGGTTATGGGAGATGGTCGGTTCTACCAAAACGGGTCGTCGGGTCAGGACGAATCAAGTGCTGGTGGTGGCTATTCGTCTTCCATTAACGGAATGCCGGCGTATGACCAATATGGTCAGTATAAGTGAAGATGGAATTATTCTTCATTTTTATGTATATCGATTCAAAACATGTGTTTGAATAGATATTTTATCTTTGTATTATCAATAACATTTCTATATATAATGTTGCTCCTTTTAAGGAAAAGTGTTGAGTTTCAATACTTTTCGAGAACTGATTTATATATGCAAATGAAAAAGTGTTTTTGGATGAAACTCTATGCAATATTACATGATCTAAAGGTTTTTGTAATTTTAAAGCTGCTATAGTTAGAAGATAACTAAACATTATAGGAACCAAGTTTGCTTTTTTTTATATAGTTAGAAGATTTATATATGCAAACAAAAAGGGTTATAAAATCAAAATTCAAAATGAAGCAAGTGGTCCAAATGCATTGACCACATAAACACTTTAATAACCAAAATATAGGATTTTTGTAAGACTCTCAAGTCTGACGCACAACAGTTTATGTTATTTATAGAGTTGACTGTACCATTAAAGATTTCAAAAAAATTAGATCTTTATTAGGTTCATTTGTTGTTACACTCCTCCTTCTATATAATAATAACCTCCACTCCTCTCTATGAGCAGCAATGTGAAAGATATGGCCCAAGTGAAGTCAAACCCAACAAATGAGCCTAGTCAACAACCACAACACAAAAAGACAAAGACCAGAAAAGTTTCACCGGCTGAGAGTATCTCCAACAGTAATGTCTTGAGGAATATCTTAAGATTAAAAAAATAAAAAATAATAAAAAAGTAGGAGAGAGTGTAGACACAGTTTCTGGTTTGAGAAACTTTGAGAAACTGTGTCTCCACTTGTCATTTTATTATTGGTCAAATTCTTTTTTTATAATTTATAATTTAAATAAATAATTTATTTATTATAAATTGATTAAAATAATATTTTTGATACACCCACACAGTGTCACATAAACTCCCCTCTGATCGCGGAAGCTGTGGCGGCCCTTCTCGCGTTGCAACACGCCCGAAACCTTGGTTTCACATAGCTCTCTCTTGCTTCTGACTCGTCTCAACTCGTCAAAGCACTTCAATCGGAGCTTCAAGTAAAGGAACTCCACGGGATTCAATTCGACATCCTTGATCTATGTTTAAGTTTCTCTGCAATTTCTTTTCGCTTTATCCCACGATCTCAAAACACTGTAGCGGATTCGTTGGCCAAGGAGGCCTTACTCTCCTTTGTACTGGGCCTGGCCCAACTCTAGTTTTCAATTGAATCATCCATCCTTTGCACAAAAAAAAAAATTTGTAAGCGTTATGATTGCATTGGAGAGGTTTACTTGTCCGTTCATTTTTTGAATTCAAATAATGGGAGTTCAAACACTTAGAAATATCAGCATTACTATATATATACTACTAGTATTCATTTGTTTAACATATATGGATGGTCGATTATTTTTTTGTTAATCAACGCCGAAGGGTAAAGAGCTCATGTTTTTTTCGTGATGTAGCCTAAAGATTAATATAAGTTTATTGCAAAAAAAAAAAATGAAAAATCACTTCTATTAATTTTGTTAACATGCAAGGTCAAATTACTTTTCACTCTCTATCTCATTTCTCGTCATGCATATATGTTCGCAAGAATCTCCAATGTTGATATATTCACCTATCTCAACTCATATTTACGTAATGTAATTTCTTGTAATTTGCCAGTTCATCTCTACTCGAAAATGCCCAATCCTAATAACATAGAGGTGTGCTGAAAAATAATGGGAGAATTAGCCTCATAATATTTTGCGTAAGAGTAACTTGGAAGACGTACATTGACCAAGGTATTATGATTTTTGTCAGTTAATGGCACCCCATTGGACCAACAAATTAAGCAATCCCCGCATTCCTTTAATTTAATCGTAACAATATGTATTAAACTAAATATACATGCACAACAATTAATTTCAAATACATTAAAAAAACGCACAAGTCATAACAATGATTATTCGAGTTTATTACTCCATATGCGACTATGAACATTTTAATAAACTTCGACATCAAAGAAGCTGAGACATGCATGCCGAAACAAGCATTCCTCTTCTGACTTCTCTCGTCCACAATTTTTTTTTATTTTTTGAATACTAAGGTGTTAAATTATTATATCTAATTAATTATAGCAAATAATTGAAGGTATAGGTCGAGGTTTTCATTAAAGAAACAATAGGCTCTCTAATTCTATAGATCAATTATTGACCACTCGAGGATTTACATTATATTTCATGCATGTATATTTGTTAGAAGTAAACTGTTTTTTCTTGTTTTCATTTCTAGTAAGAAATTCTTAGTCCTAGTTTTATTTTTGTCTTAAAAGCTTACTTGAATAGTTAAAAAGTTCAATACTTATCAAAAAAATATTTATACTAATATTTAACAAAAAAAAATATGTAAAAATATATAGTTAAAAGTTCAAACTAAAAATAGATGCTTTGAAATATTTGAGTGCACATTACTTTAAATTTGATGGGAAATCTGTAAACCAGTAATTCTCTATCTGCAGGATAATTAATTTGTGTGTGCAGTGGTTAGATTTCGAAGTCAACAGTTTAGTCAAAGTGCTGTCAGAAAAATTACATGCGGAGGCTGTAAGAAATAATACATTTACATGGATTACAAAAACAGTTTTTAAGAAGAAAAAAAAGTGGTTTACCAAAAAAAAAAAGTGACGCTTTCAAATTATTTAAAATAGAAAAGTGTTTTATGGGTTTATACTTTATAGAATATTACACACATTAAGATCTAATATTGTTGCATCTAATAATATTTATACTTCAGAGATTTCAAAATGTAGTGTTATTTAATCAATATTTTAAATATTTCATAAAATCTAGTATTGTTCAAAAGTATAACATTTAATTAATATTTTGATACATAAATCTATCTTTACTATACTATAAATCAATATTTTAATGAAAGTTGCGGATCTAATCTGCCCTGTTTCAAAGTGCTGGGACAGAGAGAAATTAAGCCTTTATCTTCCGCAATATGAGAAAGATATCCTTCTACTCCGACCTAGTAAGCTAGGAGCAACAGATCATTATGTATGGCTTCCCACAAAGAATGGAGACTATAGCGCAAAAACTGGGTATCATGCGGCTGCTTCCTTGCCCTCCCAAGCCTCCAGCTCTCCTTCCCAACCTATAGTCTTCAACTGGAATAAGCACATCTGGAATACATACTGCTCCCCTAAAATCAAGTTCCTCCTTTGGAAAGCAATGAAGAATGCCCTCCCTGTGGGATCAACTCTAAAGGCCAGGGGTATTAACCCTACAACGTCTTGTCCTCATTGTGGTGAGGATGAATCTTGTCTTCACTTGTTTTTCACCTGCCCTTTTGCTTCACAGATCTGGGACCAAGCTCCTTTCAAGAACACCTTATCGACGGCACGATTAACCAGCCTCAAACTAGGGATCGAAGCTGCAAATCATCTCACTTGTCTCCTACCAGTTGGAATTGACAAAGGACTCCTATTCCCTTGGATTATGTGGTCGATTTGGACCTGCAGAAACAAAAAGATCTTTGAACAGAAACAGCAATCAAGCGAGGATGTTATCTCTCAAGCCATTGTCTTGGCAAAGGAATGGATTGGGGCTCAGATTCATCCTTCTAGCCAGACCCCGAAGCCGTTCATTTCTTCGGTACCGACGACCGGACTTGATACGATCAGATGTTCTACAAATGCGGCTTGGCGTGAAGACACCCGAGATGCAGGATTCGGCTGGATTTTCTCTGATCCTCTGCGACAAACGGAGATCCAGGACAGAGCAGTGGCGAGCAACGTTTCCTCCCCTCTAATGGCGGAGGCTTCAGCGGTTCTCCTGGCCACCCAATCTGCTTCCGCTCTCGGATTCTCAATTCTTCTCTTCGCTTCAGACTCACAACAGTTAGTCAAAGCGCTCAACGGGGAGCTCCAATTTTCGGAACTCCATGGGATTCTACATGATATCCTCACCATCTCTCTCACCTTTGCTGAAGTTCGTTTCGTTTATGTTAGGAGAGAAAACAATAGGAAAGCTGATGATTTAGCTAAATCTGCTTTAAATTCAATTTCCCCTGTATCTGTACCGGTTTTTACTTAATGCAAACCAACCATCTTTGACAAAAAAAAAAAAGTCACTCTTCGTTTTGCACAAAAAAAAAAAAAAAAAAAAAGACACTCTTCTTTGAATTTCTTTTAAAGAGAATAACCTTTGTCTTTTTCTTTGTTCAACTAAAAGAGAATAACCTACACGTTGAATTATTTTGTTACAGGTAATTATTTTGTCTAGTGGTTTATTTGAAGCTAATTAGAATTTTCTTACCGAATATATGTACTAGACTACTAGTGCTGTATGTATATTTTAAACGTTTTGGAATAAGCCTTGTATAGAAAATATGTATCAAACACTTTATTTTAGTTTACAAATACGAATTTCGTAATTATTTTGGATGAATATATTGGAAAATTTTGCTCGCTTGTTTGGATTATATTGAGGCGAAGGGAGACCAATCCAGCAAGAAACCATGTGATCAGTGGCGTATAGTTTTATAGATATATAAGAAAACGAAAGGATAAGGATATATAAAATTAGATATAAATCCCAAATGATATCCTCTATAGATGGTGATCGATAAAGACACATGGGCTTCTTCAACTTTTCTTTTATGCGACGAAACATGTATGCATCGGATGTGTTCCTGTCGTAACCAAAATAATTTTATTTTGTAGTACTAGTTATATAAAAATATCCTTAACTATTTCTTATCTTATCCATATCCCATAAAAAGAAAACTGAGTAACACATTGCTGTCACCTAGAATTCAAAATTTTGAAGTAACCAAAAAAAAAAAAATTCAAATTTGCCTTTTCTAGTTAACCAATTCAAAACGAAACATTGAGATCGACGCCTATTCGGACTCGATGTTTTGATCAGTGTTCTAAAAAGCGGTCTAGGCGGTCGCCTAGGCCCCGACTAGGCGCTAGGCTCTTATGCGACGCCTAGATAACCGCCTTGACCGCCTAAAATTACACAGATCTTGTTTAATGTATTTTTTCAATTTTAATTAGAGTTTTATTTATATATATAGTTATAAATATTCATATATTGTTTAATATAAATATAAATAAATGTTTTATCTAATTTTTGTTTATAATTTCATAATTTTTAGTTTTATATAGATATTTTATATAACTTTTATATATAATATCATATTTATAATATTTTAT